AAATACCTGATGCCCTGCCTTTGAGTGGTAATTTATTGATTTATCTAATTTATCTCATAAAATTAGAGATTTTTTTAAAATACAGTTTGTTCAAGCTTCTGAGGTACATAGGGACCTCTGACCTGCCTTTGATGTTTTAGAGGCGCTATCTTTTGCTACAAAGCAAAAAATTTTCAAAAAATAATTTAATAATGTGTTTATTATTATCATAGGATTAGTAGCTGTGGGCATGACACAAAGTGGGTGCTTTATTTGAATACAGCAGCAGCCCAGAAAATTTGCAACAAAGGACAAAGTTTAAGGCAACAGGGAGATAGATACATGAAAACAAAGCAGCACAATAATACTGTGTCATCACTGGCCAAAGCCAAACTCTTGCTGACTGTTAGTAGACGTCTTCCCTATTCAGTGAGTTGGCCAAGTACTTGTACGTCTTCTGAGCACTAATGTAGAAAGGGGAAATGAGTAGGAAAGTCCATGGCTACTAGTCAGCAGTGAAGTCAGATTGTCTCATCAGGGAATGCCACTCTTTTAAGTGTTACAAAATGATAATGTAACCTCAGTTCCAAGGATTTATTAAGAATGAAGAAACTCAGAGTGAGGTTCTTTTTAATCTCTCCATAAAATTGGAGCATAGGCTAGCACAGAAGGCTTGCACAAGTCAGTGCTGTTACTCACCATCTTTGGCTTGGTCCTTTACATGCAGCTGTTACTGTGCAATGGAGATTCCCACCTAAAGCAGTTTCATAGAATAGAATCATAGAATGGTTTGGGTTGGAAAGGACCTTAAAGATCATCTAGTTCCAACCCCCCTGCCATCAGCAGGGACACCTTCCACTAGACCAGGTGGCTCAAGCCTCATCCAGCCTGGCCTTGAACACTTCCAGGGAGGGGGCAGCCACAGCTTCTCTGGGCAACCTGTTCCAGTGTCTTCCTCATGTTAAAACCTTTTCTCAGTTTTACAGCCCCATTGGGTAAATTTTGTCAGCCGGTGAGTGGGACAAGGCTGAAGGGAGCTGTGTAAAGGGGATGCTTCAGTAGATGGCACTCTCCCTCTGAGTGAGGATGAGCAAATACTTCAGCCAAGGGATTTAATGCAGTGAGAGCAACTTCCTTCATACTCTACAGAAATTGCAATGAGTGCAAACAGAGCTCTGCCTAACTATGCGGTGAAGTAACCCCTGGCAGTTTTTCACAAATCTGGATCTATCAAGTCCTCGCATCTGGCTTCCTTCCTGCTTAAATAACTATAGTCTGTTTCTGTTCAGCCTGAATTCCTCCTGAAATCTTAATGGTGATTATATACATACACACATACACACACACGTAAAATATGTGTATATACTTATGTAACTTACACACATCAGACTCAGGTTTTTTTCTAATTAATTGTTTTATTTTATTATTCTGTCAATGGTAGATCCAGTTTAAGAACTAGGTAATAATAATAATACCTGTTGTAGCTTGTATTTTGTTGTCGTTTTGAAGCCACAAAATTTCATAGATCCAGTTTAGAGAGCAGTACAGTGAATTAGTGCAAGTGAGGAGACCTTAACTGCAGATATGGGGGCAATAAAGACTTGCTAGGCATTAGGTGAGCTATCACCTTTTAAATCAAATCTGTTGCTAACCAAGCAGTAACACACAGCCATCATCTTACAGCTTTCTAAACTGTAGTGTTTTCCTCACTCCAAAACAAAAGGGTGAGACAAGGCAGTGAAAGAAATGTGTGTAAGACAAAGGTTGCAATCAAAAGTTATATGGGACAAATTCATAAAATGCAAGTTTAATTAGTTCAGATTTTTAAAGTTTTGGATTCTTGAGTAATATAAGTATTTTCCTTCAGTTTATTGCTTTTTAAGCATTCCTTTAAGTATCTGTTTTCATATTTGACTGGCACACAAGTCAAATAGGACTCCATACGCTCTCAATCCCTGTGTCTCTCCTACACTCCCCCAAAATCCTTTTTTCACTGATTAAAATCACAATGATAACAGTATTTCTAAAATCCTGGACCTGGAGCTATCATTTTCTTCCTTTAAGAGGGGACCATTTGCTACCATAGCTCAAATACTGCTGTCAACCTGTTTTTTCTAATATTCGAGTCAGAGCCTGAGGGGTTTTGGGGCCTGTTAAGAATGAAGAGGCCCTAGGTAATGTATGAAAGAGGAGCAGAAAGACTATTTGTGTGTATCTCTCCAGTGCCAGTCAGCTTTTGAGCAATTGAAAGTTATGCACCATGGCGAATTAGATAAAGGAATTTCTGTTACAAGAAGTGGTTCAAGGAGTGGCATGCTGCATGAGTGAAATGGCAGATTAGTCATAAATAAATAGTTTTTAGGTTTTCTGTTCTTAATTCAAAACAAAAAAACCCCATGCTGCGAGTGTCAGATGCTTAAGAGACTGTGCCCAAAAGCAATATTTTCTGTCCTTTCAAGAGAAATTGCACATAGATAAAATGCTGGGCCAGGGGAAGCTCTCTGTTGAGAGTGCCATTTATCTACACCATTCACCTATTGTTTGGCAAATAGATTTCAAATTCCAAATGCACTTTCCAAATACATAATTCCAAATAGTCCTCACACAGTCAGGTTACTACTTGGAAGTCTCCTTTGCACATGACTGAATGGAAATGGTTTGGAGAAGCTCGTTTTAACACTTTACAAAGGAACTGATTTTTTTCCTTTGGAAAAAAAAAGAAAATCAGGGTCTGGAGCTTCTACTATTTGCAACAGGTTCTTTAGAACAATAAAAGCAAAATGGTTTAACACTATTACGGTACTACTAATTTTTTCCCCTTCTGCAGTCTTGAGCTGACATTTTGTTCAGGTACGGAAGAATATCTAGGTCATGAACCTAATCCAAAACATTGAGTTTATGGTTGCAGCTTTACCTTTACAGAAGCTGTTGTGAATTCAGAGGAGGTTTGAAGACCCACAAACCAGCCTTCTTCACTGGCTTTCAAGTAGTGGTTTCAAATCAAAGAAGAACAGTTTGCTGACTGAATCATCAAACTAGGTATCAGGACACCTGAATTTTATGCCTTTAGGCAAATTTTAGCCTAATTTTCAGGTCTGGCGCATTTCTTTAACTCCCATTTATTTCAAATGCCATTACAAGAGCTCAGCACCCCTGAAACTTGTTCTTAAACCATTTTGGGAATATCTTCCTTACTGATAAGTGGGAAAGATGTTTTAATGCTTGTAATGCATTTTGAAATACCTAGTAAGAATATGTTACAGAAATGCAGTCATTACTAACAAGTGTCTCACTGAAACAGTCCTGGTTTTCTTCATCTCAGTGCAGAACGGTTCAAATTACCTTAGAAAAAATATCTGACAGCAGTTAAACCGTACAGTTCTGTAGACAGGACAGAGCAAGAGACAGAAGGCGCATGTGACAGCACATCTGCCACCTCACCGCTTTTAGGATGGAAGCTGAAGGGTGGAAGATCATGAGCAAAAGGTGAAGAGCAAGTGGTGGCAGAAGCAGGGCCTGACAATCACATAGGAAAATCCCTGCTGGAAGGATCCAGAAGACGTGGTGAAAAAATAGGCCTGATAGCCTCGCCTTTGATAATATTAAGAAGCCAGACAGAGATAAGAACTCAGTGGGCTTGCAGAATTGATCAAGGAAGTAGCCAGAAAAATCCACATCTTGATTCTTTGTAATGGATTGTGTTGTGTAATAGAGGTCTCATACCTTCTGGTTCAGCTGTGTAGGTGGGTTTATCTGTGCTGTGTGGTATTTGTGTTTAGGAAAATTACGTCATATGCAAGTAAGTGAGAGAAGAGGTGTCAGGTGTAGCTGGACAGACCAGTGAGATTTAGGTGAGACTGTTTATCAGTGTTTGGAGATGAGCACAGAACAAATAGTTGATTTGCAAGCATGGTTTATTTAGAAACTTAAGATCTATTAAAGGACAGTGAGGCTAAAACTTACCAATAAATGTATCAGATGCAATGGTTAGAATCAATCCATCAAGGCCGTGGATAGAGAGAAGTTAATAAAGGTGATCAACACTCAGCAGACCAGTACCTACTGGTTTCCTGATGAAAGTTATCTTGAATCAAACCAGGTTTTACTGGAAACCCCAAGGGTATAACAAATGTCACTTCATACTACATTAATTAGACCAAGGTAATTCGTAAAATTGTTCAATCAAGGGTGGGCATGTGAACCAGACTGGTGAATTAAGCAAAAAGATGGAGCAAAAGGAGAACTGCTAATTTTCCTTTTTCTACCTTTTTCTGCATGAAAACTGCAGATGATTTTTGCATCCTCCCATTGCCAGCTTATCCAGCCCACTGAAGGATTTGCTTGACAGGAGGAAAACATTAAATTCCACTTTTTGGGGGTTTTTTTCAGTTTTCTATTCTTGCTGATTTAAAACGTCTCAGTTGACTGCGTTATGAGCTGTTTTCCCAACAGGACCTTTGTTCTGGTCTGTGCTTCAGCAAAAACTGGAAAAACTTGTTCAGGTGCTCTTTTCTTTTTTTTTTTTCCTTCCTCTCCTATTGGCAGCTGCAGCTTGTACACATGCAGACGAGGTGGTGCCTACCTTTCATGTGGAAAGCTGCCTTACAAAAACTGAGGTTGCTTTTTCCATTATCCCAGAGCTTTTCTGGCTTCATGAAGGCTTTGGTGGATGCTCCAGGAGTTAAACTCTGTTTGTTCTCTACGAAATGAGTTTAGGTCATAATTTTGTTTTTCTTCAAGCAAAGGGAGGGTGTTTGAGCGTGGCTCCAGTCCAGCCTTTTAGATAACATTTTGTAGACTCCAGGAGATCTGCAGAAACCCGCTTTGTTGTGCAATGTAGCTTTTTGGATGAAGAAACTTGTCTGCTTTACCACAGCTGCACATGGTGTCGTGTTAACATCTGTAAGACAGGAGAAACACTTGAGGCAGCACGTTAGTGCAAAACGTGGATAAGTTGAGAACAAACTTTTCTTTCTCTCTCCTTCCCTTTCCTCTTGCTTTGTGCTGCTGTTGGAACAAGAATGGGTCAGCTGTGTGGACGATGCATGCAGCTGCTGCGGGACTTCGTGACCTTCATTCAGAGGATGTCCTCCGACTTGGTGCACGGCATCAAGGAATTCTTAACTCTGCTAAGCAAATGCTCCTGCTTAAAACAAAAGAGCTCTAAGGCCAGACAGCTGTACAAGCCCATCCTGCAACCTCATGAGAAGGTGACAGCACAGGAGTTTCTGCAGCATATTGAAACAGGTAAGAAGGCTTGTTTTTTTTTCTAAAGGCTTGTGAAAAAAACGAGATTTTTTTGTGGGCTGAAAATAGATTGATGGTTGAACTGCTCTGGCGTGGCATGGAGCAGCTTGGAGATGCAGGAAAGGCCAGAGTTACAGAGCTTTTTCTTTGTGTACAGGGCACCAACGGTCAAGTGGTGTAACACTTGGATCTAGGTAGAAATGGTCAGTCACTTTCTTGCTCTGCACTACTGTTAGTACACAACCCATGTAAATATGTTTTGTAAAAGTGAGTCTTCCTAATTTAAGTTATTTTTTTTAAAGTCAGTCACTGAGGTCAGAAAGCTGTAAATGTGTTCCACTGACACTGGATGCTACATGAGCACTGAGCTGTGAGAAGACAAATCACAGTGTGGTCCTGGCTGAGTTGTGCATCCATGCTGCTGGCTGGAGAACACCTGGACTTGTGCTGGGGGTGCCTGCACTATATGCGGAGAAGGTCTATGTCACCTTAGGACAAACACTGTTGGGCTCCCAGGACTTCCTCAGATTTCAAGCAACTGGTCTGCCTACGTGCAAACATTTTAGACACAAGGCTTCCACAAAACCATAGGATTCTGCTTGAATCAAAGTAGATCCATAACTCTTCGTGTATCTCCTCTGTTTTACAGGCTACCTCCCTAACTCCCCCGTTTATCTACTTGTGATGTCCTCTCTGTCCTGTCCTAGGATACAACAATATCAATTAGAATTTTTTTTAATTTCACTGCTACATCACAGAATATCATCTTGGAAAAGTGTGTTTCGTCAGTTGTCCAACCTAAAATCATTCCTTCTCTCAAGTTGGGCAGGGGCCATTGCTTCTTTGGTTTTACATTGTCTCACAGCTAATTGAATATAGTGATTTAAGTTTAATAACCTTGGGCTAAAGCTACTACATAAAATTGCATAGCCTTCTGCTTTCATTTGTGTGAAGAGTGTGTTTACTTACCTTTTTGGGGACATAAAACCATCTTGTGAAGGGGACCAGGAAAGACACTTTTTTCCTTGCTGTGAAACAGTTAATGCTGCTTGAAATGATCCGTCATGGAACAACCTTTGGAATAATTGCTGTTAGGCTGGTTGTTGGGAACACGCGTGAATTAGCCTCAGCCGGTATTAGCTGGTGTCATTACCCTATGAATGTGGGGGGTCCTGTGCTGCTGGTAGGGTTCACTAATTGTTGCACACGAGGCACTAGCTAAATTCTGAAGTCCACATCCAGAACAGGACCAGACCTTTCAGCCTGATACACAGTGGGGATCTTCTAGGGCTGAACTTTTTCTTCCTAAGGCTAACATGCTCCTGACTGTATAAGAGACTGTTTTAGGCAGTGTCCCAGCTCAGCTGATGGATCAGGTGCAACAAAGAGGTGGTCTGGAAAAGATGGTGAGGCCAGAATGACTCTTTGATGCACCACTAATGCTTCGTGAAGATAATATGTATGTTTTCTTGAGAAATCCTTTCCTCTCTGAGCTGGGTCTTCAAAAGGCTGGTCTGTCTTGGATCCTCATGAGCTGGGGTACAGCAGCAGTGAACCTAGAGCTTCTGTGACAGCAGTGCACAGATGGTGACATGTGCTCTCGGGGAGGTCTCAATATCCATGATAGGAGATACACAGCACCCAGGAAGAAGAACCAAGGTTAATTCTCTGAGTGGCCAAATCCTGCTGCCAAGACAGATGGAGGCAAGGAAGCCTCACAAGGAGAACCAAGATACATCCCTCTTACTTTAGCCCTTGCCTGTGTATTTTATTCCAAAATGGAACAAACCCATGCTCAGTTCTGGATGAATTATAATAAGCAGGGAAGCAACATTTGGACAATTTGGGTGCAAGGAGAGACTTCATGGTTGATCATCCTACTCAGCTGCTATCTCAGGCAACAAATGCTTGATATTATAAGCAGGTAAAGATTTTGAGTGGCCTCTGCTTTGTCACTCTCCCAACAAAAACCCACAGATATGTGGGAGATTCAGATAGTGTGCAAAGAACAGAATTAAACCACATGTTGAGATTTTTGGTTTTCCTCTAAAACCTTACACACACTGGCTAGCCCTTCCTTTGTGTATATTGTTAATTATTAAACAAAAATGATCTTTATATGAATCACTTCTGCGAATCCCACTTGCCTAATCCTGAAGGTAGGAGTTTGCTGCCCTTGACATGTCAGCAGCTTCTCATACCTTGAGGTATTGGCTAAATTTTGCACTGAGGCATGAAAGATCACACCTCTCACATCCTTTGCATCTGTTTATGCCCTGGGAGCTAAAGTAGCTACATCTTGTTCACAGAGATATTTCGATCTTTAGTGCACTGCTTCAATATATTGTCTGAAAATATTTCTTATAATTGTGTGGTCCACCAGTCAATTTATACTACATTATCTTTTCAGCAGTTTATACTATTGAGCAGTGGTTCAATGGCCCTTTTTTTTTTCCCTCTTTGCTGCTCCATTCCACACGTTATAAGTACATTATACAGTGATTTACAGAAGTCATGCATTACTGCTATTGCTCGATAGCTATTGCTGAACATCTGGTTTATTCATAGAGGAACTATCATACTTGAGAACAGGTAGACTCATGCTAAAAATTTGTGCCTGAGGCAAGCCCGTTTACAATCCATGTTGCTATTCCCTGAAAACCTTTGTTGTAATACCCTGGACAGGGAACACAGTGAACTTAAAATATAGTAAATTAAAAATATATATTCTTTCTATAGCTCATAACTAAGAACACCATGTTTGGTAGATATATTTTAACAAAGAACTTCTATGATTCGGGAAAAAAATAAAGATTTTTATGGAAAACAAGAACGGCTGCATTTATATTGGAGAGTATAAAGGTATCTAAAGGTTATAATTTATCTTGCTTCCAATCACTAGCTTTGTGAGCTTCATGAGACACATTGCCAAAGACAGGTTATTCCAGATTCATTTATTGCTTCTGCTCATGGAAACATGAATAAGGATAAATGGGCTGTATGGAGTTGTTGCAATACAGAAGTCCTTATCTGTTTGATTGGCTGGAAATTTTAATTTCTTTTTGTAAACTAACCCTTTTCAGATATAATTGAGTCTGTGCTGTCATTGTACATTTTCAGGTTTTGAAATGTCACCACTTGGAAAGGACCCTCTGGAAGCCCTGAGGACCTTAGCCTTTTCAGAAAACCCAGGTTTACAGCAGTCTGCTGCCCTCTATTACTTGCATATGAGTCAGCACAGTAAGTTATCTCAGTGCATTAGAAAATTTTCACATAATTACAAATAAAATATTTTTTTCCAACTGTGAAACTCCCTTTGATTCATTAATCAAAGTTTGTTTCTTTCATGCTGTGTTGTTTGCTAACCAAAATTGGAAATTCTGTCATTGCTATGTGGGCGGTTATTCTGGGTTTTGCTATGAAGAGATCTCTCATGAGACTGTTCATTTATGTAATTGTAATACTTCTGGAAAAAACTCAGCAGAGCCCAAAGTAGTTGGAGTCAATGTATACTGAATCTCCTGAGAGCAACACAGTCAAAACTACGGTGGAAGGAAATGGACATAGTGATCATTTAAGGTTTTATATTACATTATTTTTGGAAGAGGAAAAATCCCTAGAGACCAGAATGTAGTGGAAATTTTTGAAAGAAACATTCTTCTTTGTCCAACTATTCTGTAGGAGCACTTGGCTCCCGAGGTAATTGGTAAATGGTTAGAAGTCAGCCTAGATCTGCCAAATAAGATTCCAGAAAGAGTTTGAGTCCTACAAAAAGATAGAAATACCAGCAACAAGCGGGCTGTGATTTACTTATTTGTTTGTTTAAAATTTACTTCAGGGAGAATATTCTGGCACTTGGCTTGATAGCTTTGTCCTCTGTATTTTTTTCTGGATAAAAAAGTGTAGATAGCCACAACATGAGGACCTGCTATGAGGCAGAATGATTTGTTTGGTAGTGATGCACATTGCTTCCCTTCCCATGATGTTCTTGAAGTACTTGATTATTCAAAACCTTTTCAGGAAACTTGCCCTGTTTTGCTAGTAGCAATTTAATTTAAATGAAGGGGAATACCACTCAGACTATGTATGGTAGCACCTGAGGCTTAAGACCAACAAGAGAAAAATGTGACTGCGGTGAACGATGAGACTTCTGAATATTTCCTCTCATTCCTGCAGTGAACGTCCCCCTGCCTGTGGAGCATCTGGAACCCTTCTATGCCTTACTACGGTCTGCTGACCTGGAGGTGCAGCAGATGTCTTCCTTGGCCCTTGTCAACTTCTTGCTGGAAGAAAACAGTGAGTAATTAACAACACATCTCTGTTCACGTGAAAAACTATCTCTTCAGCCCGACTCAGGCAGAAGGAGGGCACATCTATACACTGAGGTCTACACACATCCAATTCAATTTTTTGCATTCCTGATAGGATATGTGTGAGTCTGTTTCTGTCTGCAAGCTACATAACTTCTGGTGGGACCAGGATATATCCGATCACTCCAGCTACATTATATCATGTGGCAAGAGATCTTGGATCTCTGTGCAAAGGCTGATAAATTATTCCCAGACTGGTGTGGGAACAGCTATACTCTTCTCATTCTTGGAACAAGAGCCCACCACTTACCCTTTCAAGCAACAGATACAGCTCTTAGAAATAAACTCTGCTATGAGACAGTGCTCATTTTCTTGTTATTTATTAGCTGGACCTTGGTCTTAAATTGCTTGCAGATTTTATTTAAAAAAAAAAAAAAGAGAGAAATGTTTAATAGAATTCACTTTCTTCTGTAGCTAATAGGGCAAATGATAGGATCTGGAAGGTGCAGATGACAAACTTCCCAATAAGGTTTCTGTTGATAGACAGAGCATGAACACCCCACACCTCATCAACAGAGGCCTTGTTGCATCTACTGTGCTCCCTGGCACCTGGGCCTCAACAGTTATTCCATCACACTATCCCATAACAGCAGAAGACAGATCAGTTTTCAATGAAGATAGTTTTTTTCTTTTCTTTTTTTTAAGCATCTTGCTGCAAATAATATCATGTCACTATTTACAAGTAAAAAATATATATATATTTAAAAGGTAGACTTCAGAAGAAAAAGAGTGGGGCACTGATTAAATTGTGAACCTGTTGGAAAGCTGCAGATGCACTTTCCAAAATGAACCTTATGTTTGAAAACAGAATGGCTAGAAGAAATATTTGGGACCTTCTGAACTAGAACCTCTGAACATCTCTTACAGTCTTTCATGAATCTGAAGAGGAATCAAGCAAACCAAGCTAGGGACTATGAGTGCCTTTCAGGCTTTTTCCATCTTAGGTCAGTTTTGCATAATCATAACATAGACCCCTAAAGCAGTCAGAGGAAGATACATTCTTTTCACAAAGGTATTGACTGTTTACTTTTCTGTTTGTCCATCTTTTCTTACATTTATGAATAGTTGACAAAGAAATAGTTGTCCAAATGGGTTTACTTGAGCCAATTCTGGATCTGCTTGAGTCGGAGGATCCCACAGTCCAGTGTAATTCTTGTGCCTGCACCATGACTTTGGCTGTTTCAGGTAAGTGTGCTGTTCTTTCTCTTTATCCTCTAGAGTGGATTCATTAAACCATCATGTTTCAAGGTGAAACAACATATTTGCAATTGGTTTAAGAGTCATAAGATGCAGGAGCAAATTTTGGTATTCCCACATCATAAATTCAACCTCTTGAAATTCCAGTTAAGATCTTTTTCTCGGTGTTTTTGACCTTCATTCTCTTATGATTACAAACCTATTTCTGATTTCCAACCTAAATATATTCATGACCAGCTTATCTTAATTAGTGTCTACATTGGTTTTTGCTTTGGTAGTTCTCCCTCTCAGATGTCTGCGCTGGGAAGGCTTCTTCATTTTACCAGACTGAAAAAACCAAGCTCATTTAAGATTTCGTTTGTAAGCGAGACTCTCCATTCATCTTCATAGCTCTTCTGAGTGTAAATTATATGTTCCAGAAATGGAACATAGTAATTTTGTCTGCTGTTTTGTGATGCCACAGACCTCACGCATTTTTACAGTCTGAAGGTGTACATAAATGCTGCAGGAGTTCCATTTTGAATTAATCTCTTCCAAAAGAGAGGTCACCAGAAATGTGCAGTATTTCAGCTGGGGTATTACCTGGGTCTTTTATTGTGGCATCCAGGGAAATATGTTTTGTGGTATATCTCATGATAACACTTGATTTTTTTGGGATTGCATCATGGTGATGTTGTCACCCTGCAGCTGACTTAATCACTTAGTCTTTCTCCTCCTCTGCTGCTCTTTCCAGCACACACCAATTAATTAAGGGTCTGCAACAAATGTTTCAAAGTGCATGTCCCTGCATTTTGTACTGTAAAGTTTTGTTCTGTTTCTGTTGCTTCAGTCTTCTAACTTGTCTGTTATTCGTAAAATATTCCAGTCCTCCACCACATTGACAGTGATGCACTCACACTTTTGTATTAACTTTCTGGTTCAAAAGCAACAGACCAGTCTCTATGGAATTCCACTTGTAGCCTCCTCCTTCCAGGTGGTCATTCCCATTCAGCAAAACTTGCTGCCAGCTTCCTTTTAGTCAGTTCCTTAGCCACCATGCACTTCTTGCTTTCATCACCATCTTCTCTTGCATGTTTCATATCATGATGTAGATATTTTCTTGGCATCCAGATAGGTAAGCTCAACCACAGTTAGGAAAGGAAAGGTTATCAGGTTAATCTGGCTTATTCACAAGTTGTGTGATTCTACTCTACATATTGTATAAATCCCTGTATAAAAGCCATGAATAATATGTATTTCCCTTCCTCTCGTGTTTATTCCACCAGCTTCCCTCTCCAGTATGGGAAGTTGCAATCGGATCTCTCAGAAGACTGGAGAAGCATGGTGAAAGTGTTACTTACTCATTTAAATATTTGTCTTGCAAAGGGGGAGTGGATGGATAAGCAGGATACAACAACATCAAAGTGCTGATTTGCATTTTATCCCATCTTTTATTTATCTGCAGCTTTTAAAATATTTTTTCCCTTTGAAACCTTTTTTTAAGTATTGCATATTATTATGGTCAGGTTAAGAACTGTGTATTACATTACTTTGCGTGGAATGCAAATTGCTTCATTCAAATGTCTAATTAGGCATGGCATCGATAAAATTTTAGATGCTTGGCACTTGGAGGGCATTCTTTATGTACAATCGGCAGAGTTATGCATCTGAAGATCTACAGAGGGATATCCCTTCACCTCTGGTTTAAGCAGTCCACAGAGAAAGCAACTTCTTTCAGCACCTAAGGACATCCCCTAGTCCTTAAGGCACTCTAGCCCTCTTAGATGTCTCTAACCCAGAATGTAGGGAACTCTCAGCCACTCCAGATCCAATCCACCTTCATTCTCTGTTGAAGGTGGTTATCTAATACCATTGCACACTCCCCTAAGTGTCAGTGTACTTCTGAGCACAAGTAGTTCAAATTAAGTGTTCAAGGACCTGTCAAACTAGATAGGAAGGCATCTGCTGAACGTAGAAGTAGGCAGTCCTGCAAGAGCATAGGCTGGGTTGCTGTCTGGGATTTAGATCAGTTTTGATCTCTGTCCCAGTTTAACTAGCATTTAGACAGATTGGACCCATTTATTTCTTTTTCAGGCTATGTTTAGCTACCACAGCAATGAGACTAAAGCAAGAGTCAATTCTCTAGGGTTTATTTTAATTTTAACTTGCAGACTCTGAGATCTTAAAGGGCCTACTTGAGAAAAGGATTCTGTTCAACCATGTCCTTCAAGTAAACCGTTCATGCTTCAGAGTGATTTAGAAAAGATAAATATGGAAGCACAGTCATATTAGGAAGATCCTTTAGATAGCTTTAAGGTGACTAAAATTCTAAATCCAAGAATGGTAACGTGTCTTAACTCTGCTGCAGTAAACATCCAAGACTGTGTACAGAATGAAGCTGTTTAGGAAGGTGACTGCAAGTTGTACGTAAGCTGGGTTGTCTGATACTCGCTGCAATAGGTAGTGAAAAACCAAAACAGCAAACAAACTAATTCATATTAAAAAGATTTGAAGGTCATTTTGTCCCAACAGTAGCATTTGTCCACACAGCAAGAGGACACATGCACATTTGCCATTATCTGCAGCTTTTCAATCTGTGGGTGAAAGTAATCAGTTCTGGGATAAGAACTCTTCTCGGAATACATAGGAACAGAACTAAACATTGACAGCAAAGGTTTAGAGAGGCCTGAACATCTGCATTAAGCTGAACAAGGAGGATGCACTCAGTGCAGCACACATTCAAAGTTGTACCGACATGAGAGTTTTCAAGCACACAGATGGCAGAGAGTAGAAAGAAAGAATTTATAAATGCAGGTTTCAAGGCAAGTTATTCAAACCCAGCTTGAATAGATGTTGTTGATTTCTCCACTTTGGAGAAGCATCCAAATATGTGGTTCCCTTCTAAAAGCATTCTAAGGGCCATCAGCAATTACAGTGGCGTCAGTGGAGAGACTGCATTACTTAGATAAACAGGTGGTCCAGCAGAGAAACATGATCTAGCCTGCCACATCTCTTACAGAGATGATAGTACAGTTACACATCTTGATGAGATAGATATCTCCATCCATTCTGACATACATTGATGACACAGATATTGTTCAGCTATATTATCTACCCAAACTAGAATGAGAATGAAGAGAAGGATAAGCAAAAAATGACGTATGTAAAAATAAATCCAGCAAACCCACAAGAATGAGCACTAACAAAGGCTGCAGAGGAGAACTTGTCAGCTAGTGAATGACCCAAAGGAAAAGAAAAAAAAAAATTTGGTCACAGAGGTTTCTGTCATGTCAGTACCTGTTGTGGTCTCTCCACTCTCCCGTGATGAGAGCAGCTGCTCCAGTCCTTCCCAGAGAGGAGTGGGATCCCTGGGTCTCGATGTGCCCCCTCTCTCCAAAGCAGGCTGTAAGAACTCATCTTGCCACAGTAGGCTTCCTGTGTTGACCACCAGCTCTGAGCCCTCAGGCAGAAAAATTGTTTGAGCCGTGATGGTTGTGAAGCCTTTCCAAATCAAGCCAGTTATGTTTCTTTAAGGAAGAAAAACCTTTGAAACACCCAGTGACTTATCTTCTGTCATATTTTGCCCAAGTTTTGTCTGAAAGTTTGTAATCCCTTTACCCAAACATGTGGTTCTGTTCCATATTCACAAATATTCATGGAGCGTGTTGTGTGGAAGAATGAAGGAAGCAGCAATATCTGAATTCTCAATCTTTTTACCACTCTTCTTTACTCAACTAATTAGAGTTTACATCACACCAGACTGGTTTCCGTCAGTTGGAGCCACACAAAAGAATTTCTGCTTCTGCTGAGGGAAACAAAAGAACAATACTCAGGCAGATTAGATTGGAGAAAGGCTTGTCTACAAAATTGGCCAGAAAATTTCACCAGAATAATAGCTTCCCACGTGGAAAAGCTATTTTTAAATACATGACTCTTCCTGGAACAATTATTTTGCTCAAAAAATAGAGTATTTTTTTCCAGAATAAAAAGTATTTCCTTGAGCATAAAATATTCATATGAAGGCAGAAATGACTTGTCCTGGAATCCTAAACTGGTACTGACTGAACTATGCTTGGAGAGATATCCTGGATTATCTGTGTGTGTCAGCTCCCCAGTATAGATAGCTTCCAGGTATAATGACTTTGTTCTCTTAACTCACACAGTCAGCTGGCACCTGAAGAGTTGATCTCATCCAAATACCTCTACATTTCTTGCTTTCCTCTGCTTCATGTTTTTCTCAGCAAACTTCCAGAGACCGACCATTGTTTAGAAATGTACGTAAATGAAGCAACACTCAACTACAACTCCTGTGGCCTTCAGTGGCAGTTTGGCTCATATAAACAATGAAAGATGGAGACTATGGACTTTGGTTTTTCTTTTTATAAAATAATCTGCAGCATACTATGATATTAAGACAATTCTTCATTTGTCTAGTTCCCATTTAAATCTCATCAACTTCAAAGAACACTGCTGCCAAGACTTATTTTTTCAAAATCATGCCACTAGAATGCTTATAAGATAAAAATACAGATAATGTATAGATATAAGTAAGACAGTAAAGGGGAGAGGACCATAGCTATCTGAGTGTGGCAGCAGGTTGTTTGTTACAGATGTTTTGATGGCCTCATGGTAGAGGGGTAGGGAAGAGCATAACAGAACGATTCTCTTCTCTATGGCACAGCTGAGGCTACTTTCAGTAAGTCCAAAACAAAAGGAGTAGAACTAAAAGCAGATTTTTTTTTTTCTAAATTGTATTATATTTCATAGCATAGTATAACTTTATCATATGTAGTATACATATATACACAGCATATAAATATGTCATATAGTATTTTATAGTATATGGTTAATTTTATAGCAATATTTAAGTATTATAGGTTGGGGTTTTTTTTCCCAGTGTTTCATCCAGGAGTCTCAAGGGACTCTGCAGATCTTTTTTGAATTCTCCTTGTAATCCAGGATGTTGAATACAACTGTGCAATTTAATACACTGCCATGGAAGAAAGCTTTACCACTTCAGAGAAGAAGCATCTTTTCAAATTCCAGTGGTTAAGTCAAATTCTGTCTTTAGAAACCTCTGCATTGTTTGTAGCTGTCAAAGGAGTGACATAGACACATTCAAAGAGAGAAATTAGCCCTGAATGTACTCTGCTAAATTAATTCAGTCTTACCTGCAGTTAATTATGGTTGGCTCACTTTGAATAGCTGGATCAGACATACCAGGGGTACAAGGTGAGTATGACACCTTGCTAACCTGTTTAAAGGGAGTTATGGTCCTTTTGTTTTAATCATCCCAGTCACAAAACAAAAGCATTGAACCAACTGCGATCTATGGCTGATCCGGAAGTCATGAGTTAGTTTCTTTCCCATAGAACTCTTGGAATTTTTAACAGGTTCCTTTGAGCATGCAGAGAAATTTTTATGTATACCAAAGAATCAGAGAAGCAAATGCCAAAGAAATCTAGTCCTGCAAGTTGTCCTGCTCCTGGCTCACAGTAAGATGGCAATGTTTTGTTTTCTTCTTTTTCTGATTCTTTTCCCCAGAGTCCAACCGAGAGGCTATTGGCGCTGCTCGAGGAGTTACACCGCTATTGTCTCTTGCCAGTTCCTACGATCCTAGAGTCCAGCAAAATGCAGTTGGTGCTATTCTCAACCTCACACAATCAGGTACATTCTGATTAATGATTTATCTAAAGATGCTGAAAGAAAATCTCTTACTGATAGAAAAATATTTCAAAAGGATTAGGGCAAGAATAAAAGCATATCTGAGCAACAAATTATTTCCTTTGCATATGGGCATTCATGTCGATACCATAGGCTGATGATTTCAGTTTGGCCTCTCTTTAGCTAAGTTCTAGACCCTTTTTTGTCTAGAACTGAAATAGGAAGGCTTAATTTTCAACCCCAAGGGGCTAATGTACAAGCACTTAAAGAAAGAAAAAGAAATAAAGAAATAACTTGGTCTAAAAAGTTCACAGCACACTTGGTGGTACTTTGAAGCAAACTCAGAAGCTTATCCAACAAGGTCAAGGTCTAGGAACATTTGACTTGTATCCCTAACTTTATGTTGGAAGATGCAAAAGATAACTATTATGGGACAGATGGTAAAGGCTCCTGGGATATCTGCCAACAGCTTCAGCAAAAGCAGTATTTGGTCCTCTGCACTACCATACATTAACTCTGAAACAAACCAGCATTAAATCTCGCCTGTCTAGATGATACCATTATCCCACACAGCTAAATGATAGTCGTGAGTAATGTCTCTTATCTCCATATAGCGGCAAGGAGTGGTTGGCAAGAGCTTCTACAGCTGGCTCTTACACTTCCGTTATTATTCAGAATTTTTTAAATTTTTATTTATTATTTTTTTTTTTAAATACAGGAATCATGGTGAATACCGTAGCTGAGGTTTTTCAGCTTCTCCAGCAATTCAGATTCTTGCCACAGTCTTTAGCATAAAAGCACAAAGGCCTAATTGATCAGACAGCCTGCTAGTCATTTTGCTAAAATGTCTGTGTACAGCCACATTGCACAAACTCTAAATTATATAGTCTCCAGTCACACCAACTGACATATATTTGGACAACTTCACCACTCTCTAAAATCCAATGATTGTGCATATCCCTTTGGAATGGTGCCTCCAGATAAGAAGAAGGGAAAGGGAAAGACACACTACACACTAACAGCACTTTTTTTTTTTTTGATATGGCAGAGAAAATCCAACAGGTCCTGTGCAAGGAAGGAGCCCTACCAGTTCTTGCCTTACTGCTGGAATCTCCTGACTCAGAAGTGCAGGTATGGCTCAAACAGGTCAGATTTTTAAACAGTAACAGTGTGACTGTAAGGAGAGCACAAACCACAGCATGTGGAAATGAAAAGGTGGAGAGGAGGGAAGGTTTCTCTAAAGAAGAGAAGAAGCACATGAGAGCATCTTGGTGAAACTCAGCTCAGTCAGATAATGTATATTCAAAACACTCAATTTGTCTAGCTCCACAGGAGAAAGTTTATGACACAGAAGTGCCTCTGCCAGCACACACCAACATCTGCACACAGGTATTATGTGGTTACTTTCCTGTGTCTTTCAGATCATCAGACAAGTTGCAGATAAGCTGCTTCCTCTGTTGTTTTTTGGGTTTTTTTGCATCCTAACTTTGATCTTCCACTCTAAGCAATTTTACTAAATGTTCTGAGAAGGCATAACTTGCAAAGATTTTTTTTTTTTCTTATTATTGTAAATGTCTGGGAAATCTTCCTATTTCACGCCTACCACAGACAGCTCTGTGATTCTGCATGCTTAACAGAGAGCTGGTCTGGGTTCAAAAGTATGCTGATGAAAAACTATGAACCTTAAAATCCACTAGTTTATTCATTAGGTCCTCTGAGTAGTACAGGATTGTTTCCTTCATTTGTTATCTCTAAGCTATCTTTTAAATTTCTGAAGTGATGGAGCCTTTGGAATTGCTTTCTGCAAACTGTTTCAGCATCATCAGCTTTCTCTGAGATTCATCTTAAAATTTCCTTCTCTGCAGTTCAACCTGTTTTTTCTAATTATACCTCTCTAGTAATACATACATAATATACCTCTCTAGTAATACATACATAATAAACCATACATTACATATGTAATGTTCCCTAGCATTAATGTTTAAATACTTTGAAAATAAATGATCTCTTGGCATGCTAGGGCAATGACTACATCCGGCTTAAGTAAATCAATGTAAACATATAATCCTGCAGATGCAGATGAGCTAACTTAGGTGCGAGTAGCAGTGTTGTTGCAGCAGCACAGTACATTCCCAAATACCCAGGGTCCTAATGGGTTTGTACAACATGCAGTGCCACAGCATGACTGCTGTTGCAGCGACAGCAGATTGCATCACTCTTCCTGGAGGAAGCCCACTCAGGCTGTTATCACATCTACCCAATAAAACACTCAAGATGAAAAAACACTTTATTTTCATCAGCTCTAAATTTGAGCATTTCTCCAATTTATTTTTATTCTCTTCAATGTGTCACCACTGTGACCTCCTCTCTCTCTACTTTTTCTTGGCTCTCTGCAGTATTACAGCTGTGCTGCCCTTAGCAATGTGGCAGCCAACGCTCAGCACCACGAAGCCATGCTGAAACCTGGTAACAGATTCCTGCTACATCTCTCTCCTATCCTCTTCTGTGGACAAGGTAAAGCTGTAGCTTTCTCTTGTGTAAAGGCTTAGCATCAGAGTAGAGTTATAAACTTGGGCTTTCAGGTTCAGTCTTGCATAATTTTGCTTAACTACTGTACAGGTGCCTGTGTAACATCTTTCCCATGAGAAAAGACACATATATTAGAAGCTACATAGGTTCTACAAGGTCAGTGTATGGAGAAAGAGAAGAGAAATCATTAAAGTTGTTCCATAGCCCTGGACACTTTCTTTAGACCAGGATGGCCTGTATTCTTTAAAATTGAATCTACATGTGTGAAGTGCTCTGTCCAGGCTCTCAACTATCTTTGATTACTGTGTCTGCGACAGAAGGTGTCTGGAGCATGTATTATGCTATTTTTTTTTTTCTTTTTGGTATCTGTAGCTTTTACTATATGGCTTCAAAGAATAACATCTTGAACATTTTGCTTTGTTGGAAGTCACACCAAAGAAACTTCAATAAGCCACAGTTCAGGATTTAAAGGGTCGAACCTTAAATTCTGTGTAGGAAGGAGGTGCCCAGGGAGGTTGTGGAGTCTCCTTCTCTGGAGACATTCAAGACCCGCCTGGATGCCTTTCTATGTGATCTCATTTAGGTTCCTGCTCTGGCAGGGGTGTTGGACTAGATGATCTTTTGAGGTCCCTTCCAATCCCTGACATTGCGATTATGTGTGATTCTGTGGAAAAAAAGGCAAAGCAAATGAGACAAATTCACTCCCTTCATTTTCCTATAACTTATCTGACATTCCTAAAATAAACCAACATCTGACCCCCACTGGCTCTTCCTCATCAACAACAGGATGACTAGTACTAGAGGAGGTTGAAAAAAATTCATCAAAACTTTGAAAAACAATCATGTCCCAAAATTTGTTCTCTGAAGATAATGTAATAGCTTGCTAGTGTTGTCACATTTATTTTGTATACAGTAGCCAAGAACATGCATTACTGAAACCACTCTTTTTTTTCCTCTCTCTCTTTTTTCCCCCCTCTTTGGCACAAACAGGTTTCAAGCCAGGCATGTGTTTGCCTAAGAAATTTGGCTACCAGTGGTAAGCAATATATTGGAGATAAATAAACCATACTATTTCTTTTTCTTTCTCTCTCTCTGCCTTTCAGAGAGAGCACAGTGGGCTGGGAACCTTTCATGTTAAAAGCAGAGAGATACATTCCTACATTTTAATTGGATGTTAAGGGAAGAAGGAAGTACAGGTTTACTTACTACACCGGCCTCAGAGCTCCCAGGTAGCGAAGGGAAGTATCTGGACAAAGTGAGAGAGACGGCAGAGGTCATCTGATGTGCAGAACCTTTGCAACTGTATTAAGTTTTTCTCCCTTCCATGTTTCCTAAGTGTTAAACCTGATTAGGACAGCATGTCTCCTGAAATTGTTGCCTGAATGGGGACCTGCCTTCTCCCAAGGCATGAATCTGTCTGTCATTAAATATAATTTTCTCCCAAGCATTTGTCATCCTATTAAAACATTGTATCCTATTAAATGCCCAAGATCCTTTTCTACATCATACTCAGGAGATGAAGGCAGACAACTGGAACACTCAGGGTAGAGTTGTTCATCTGGAAAACATAGAGGTGCTTCATTTTCAAGCAATCACAATTATAGTGGAGCTGGAAGTCAAGGAACCGCTGCGCTGCTCCATGGTGTGATTGAAAACCCCTGGTCTGCTTGCCCTTTTAGGACTGCCACTCCATCTGCTGTCTGCTCTGGCATTGCCTTTTAGTGCCCAAAAGCACTCACTGAGGTTGCAGGGACAAGTGAGGTATAAGGATTCAGCCAAGGCAGCTGGTCTCTCCCCTGGCTAACCATAACTCTATGAGATAGGTGATGCTTGGAGATGTCTTTCTGTCCATGCGGCAGAAGCTGCCACCTTCTTACCAGGCCTTAGGTCAATTAAGCACTCAGAAAACTCCCCTCCTTTCTTCTCACTGAGGTTCAGACACAAACTAAAGGGTGCCCAAAGCTACATTCTGCTCTCAAACCTGTATCAATCCTTTGGTAAAAGGAGACAAATAAATGAGGGTTTATTTTTATAACTAACCAGCCAACCAGCGTTGTCCCATCCCACAGAGATGGAGAGGTCCCCTCTAATTTCATCAATGAGGCAGTCAAATGCTTGTGAGTCAGAGCCTGAATGTCTCCTCACGGTGCTCTGAAGCTCCCTGACCCCAGTTGTTTTCCCATACCAGCAGACATCCAGGCGGAGATGGTTGCTGAGGACGTCCAGCCCAAGCTGTGCTCTCTCCTGGCATCCGGCAGCGAGGACGTGCGTCGCGCCTCCATCGCTCTGCTCTGGATACTGTCCCAGCACCCGCACAACCAGGTAGGGGAGGTCATTTCATTTCCCAAGACCAGAGGGGAAGGAGTCGTTCTGGCCCCTGCCTGGGATAATGCTCTGTTGTGGCAAAACTGCAAACAAAACACATCCTGTGACTGACCAATAGACTCCATGAGGCTTCCCAGTCCTTCTCCCTCCCAACACACATTGACGTTTTGTGCTGGCTGCATTACACCAAATGTCCTCATTGCTTGTCAAACTGCCTCAGGTTTTGTCTACTACATCTGCACTGTCACTAACTACCCAAGGAACCTGTCTGTTGTGGTGAGTAGGATCCAAAGGATCCTGTAGTTAATCAGATTACCTGTAATGGGAAGGGAGGGTGAAGGGGGAAATGCATGTCAGATTCCATGGATACTTCCCTGCAACTCCCTGTGGTCCCCTCCATCCCCAGACCGTAGGTCTCTCCAGGTGGGTGTACAAGGGGCAGGACACATGCGTAGCACCATGAGAGGCTGCAATCATGAGGGCAGCTGAGGAAGTTATTCCTTGGCTACAGAGCTTCCCCACATATTAAAAAGCAAACTAATTTAGAGTGTGCACTTTAAATGCATCAGTGCAAAATAAAGTGCAAAAATTGTTTACTTCCCTTTATAGACAGTTATTCAAAAGTATATTTACATAAATTTAACACCTTTTGAATTAAGATCAAGACAGCAAAGGGGGCTAATAATATTTGAAATTCTATCTACTTTTAGCTAATTCACCAGGACTTTCCCGTGTCTTCTCACGTCCTTAAGTTACAGAATGGTTCTTTTGCCCATGTTCAGGGTAAACACCACCCTTAACAGTGCAACACTATGTAAGTACATCAAGTCTGACTAGAAATAAACTACAGCAAATAAACAAAACAGACATTCCTACTGTACTTTCATCTTCCCCGTAAAACCAGTAAGTAGTGACTGATGAATTACTATTCTTTTTAAATGTGCTTTTCCATTACAGTAATTAAAAGCATCCTTAGGAGCATGGATATGAAAGGTTTTTGATAGGTGTCTTAAGCTAACAATAAGAAAGTTAAGAGTTTGGGTAGATAAAGCAAACAAAATGTGAGAACCTTTCCTGTCATATTGCTTTAAACAGTAGTGACAGAAGATCTGAGTAACCACAGCTGGGATTAGGTGCTTCTCATGGCGGAAATACATTCAGTCTGATTTGAAATGTCCTCTGGGTACTGGAAGCCTAGTGCCTTACACCTCAGTTGCATGTGCACAGCACAGTACAAACCAAATTGCACCTCCTCTAACTCTGGGACATGAGGGAAAAAATGGGTAAGCTCAATGCCTGGAAAGCAGCAACTAGAGCACAGAGCTTTTCAAAGGCACTGTGGCCTTGTAGGTTTTGTGCTGGCTGCATTACACCAGATGTC